ATTTAGTAGTTGTAAAATTTATAAAAGATTTTGTTGATTTGTATTTTAAATTGTACTAAATAATAAAATATGTATTATTAAATGAGGACTTTCAATATTAAAAAACTTATTTCTTTAGTTAAAAGAAATAAAAAGAAGGAGAGAGTTTTTTAACCAACTAAGTTATAATATTTTTAAATATTACAATATGATTGATTAAAAAATCTTTTTTTTCCTCCCTCCATTCCTTTTTAATTAAACATGATTACAAATGATTCTCGTTATATAGTTTAATCTAATTCAAAGTATATAATAGTTTTTTTTATATAAAAATCAAAATTAAAAATTAAAAAACAAACTCTTACTAAACAAAACTTTAACTAACAATTACAATAATTACCAATTATTTTTAAATTGTCAAAAGAAATATTTATTTTGTGTAATCTTTAAAAGATTACGGGGAAATAAGCATTCCCCAAACCCCACCGCAATTTGAGCGTGCAAGTGTGCCCTTTCATTATTTGAATTCCCACGTTCGCACTACAAACTCCACATTAGTCTCGAACATTAAAAAAAAAAAAAAAAAAAGGGAAAAAGGAAAAAGAAAACTCCACAGTCCACATTGTTCTTCGGTTGTCTATTTATGCGCTGCCAAGACTGAATACAGCATTTTTTTTGGACTTCGGTCCTTCCTCGTAACCTGTCTTTCCAGTTTCAAATGCTTTGTATTAATTACGGTCTACAATATTACTGTAATAAGAAAGTATGTTCTACGGCATAAGTTCACAAATAATTTATTAACTAATATTAATTAGGTGACTTACCCTATATATATATATTTTTTAATAAAGCATCGTAGAGTTTTGAATCCAATCTGAAAGAAAAAGAAAGAACTGTATTTTAATAAGGTGGTAACAAAAACCACTCGACCCAACGGATGAAGTCTAATCTACCATATATATTAATGTAATTAGGAGTATAGTTTTTTGTACTTAACTGATAAACTTTGTATCAAATTGGCCTTGCTATTGAAGTTTCGTAAGTGAGCTAACGGAAATCTGCCAACGTTGGTGGTGCTTACCTGGCATTAATGAAGTTGCAACGTAGGCATCATGTCCTCAAACATATTAACATAATAGATGATATAGAG